GTTTGTGTTTCAAGTACCAGGCCTACAATTACAACAATGGACAGTTCTAGAGTACAAAAATTTGAGATATACCATTATCATGGTTAGTAGCTTATACAATCAGTTAACTTCAATCATTAATAAATTTTAAATACTAGCTACAAATTATTAAGTTGATATCCTATATTTTGGCTGCTAATCTGTTGTAACCCTTAGGAAAGTCCCAAGAAAGACTGTCTGTAGTTTAATGGTGAGAATTTGATCCCAGGGTTTCTTGATAGAAAGGCTGGTGTATCATCCATTCATCTGAGTCAAATGAAATAACTCACAAGTTTAAAACACAAAACCAAGAAAAAACACATATATAGAAGTCATTTTGAAGCAATATTAGGTTTCTTTGAATGAACGAGTAAATTAAGGCTAAAAAAAATATCACAAGTTGACAATAAATCAGATGGACCACCTAAATCTAAGTGTCAAAAGCCTCAAAAATCACAAGAGAAACATTGTCAGCAGTAATCAAATGAAGCAAAAGTGCACAAAACTGGTAGGCTTTCTCCTCTGCGAAAAGGAAATAACATCTTCGATGGATATAAATTTAAATCTATGCATTCAAAACATTCATACAGTAAATGAAAATGTAATTCAGATAGATACTCACCTCCCTACAGAATAAATAGTCATTATTTAGCACCACTGCCAAAAAGTTTTTTCTACACACCAAGCCTTGGACACGACTCCCACCCCTACATGTATTAACATGTACTGTGCTATTCTATGGTGCAATCAACATTATACTATAGCCTTCCACCAATAAGAAGGCAACACATCCTACATGTTATCACTTGCTGACCACATTGTGTGTACCAAAGGTTCATTCTTGCCGAGGCAAGAGACATCGGTAATGGGAAGAAAGGGCGAGTGGTTCTATGAAAAGGTGAGTACCTATCAGAAAAACATTTTTAGGTAAGGAAAACATTAACTTCAGAAACTCACCTCCCCACAGAACAGATAGTTATAATTCCAAATTGACAAGATGGTGGACGGATCGGTGCAGAGAAAAAAAAAAAAAAATCACAAAGTGGAGCTCCTTTCTAAGTTGTACAGTACACAAACAAATAATCAGATTAGCGAGGGCGGAGTGATGAACCGAACGACGTAACTTT